ATAATTCCATATCCAGATAGTAATCAAAACCTTTTAATAGAAAATGTATAAAATAAATGTTATGTTCAAAATAAACAAATTTATTTGGCATCTTCAAAAACTTTAATAATAAAAAAATGTTTAGTGGGCATACTTCATCAATTTAATATAGCATGTAGATATATAAATACTCATAAGGAATTTGTAAACAGTTATGTCGAACCTAATATAATATTAACTAGGAACTTACCAAAAACTATACTAAACCAAAATTTCATAAATAGAGATATAATAATAGAGGGAGACAACATAATAAAAGCTTTTAACTGTTCCATACAAATCGGACATATCAATATCAAACACTATGTTAGATTACACACAAACGATTTATGTCAACAACAATATCACTAAATTGAAAGCCCTTTCTTATATACAAGCTAAAGATATTTTTGAAATCCATAATAAAGCAAATAATAAATTTCAAATAATCACATTTACTATTTTAATAGTTTTAGTTGTCATAATAATATTCTATTATATCTACAATTATAAGAATATACCTATGAAAATTATAATCAAATTCAAAGGACAATTACCCTCCTATTGAATCAAATATTGTAAACAATGATGTTACAGAAATAGAAAACTATGTAAATCCTATTTTGTATCCTAAATTATACGCCTGAGGACATGCTAATTTCTTAAGGATGGGGAAATAGCATGTGTACCATAGTATAACACTTGATTACTAATACTCACACACAGACACACACACTGTACATATGTACCACAGTACCACTTGATCACACCCACACAATAACACCAATATCAAATGATACATGATACTTAATCTTGCAACCCTAACACATAAGTTAAACCCCAAGCTCTTGGTGACCATAACAATTTCGGCCGCGTTAACATAAACAATTGATTCATAGACATAAACATTAGTATGAACAGTATGAATTTGAGGAGCGTTATATGGTTGCTTATTGGGCAATCGAGGGCAAAAGAGGGCGGGAGCACCGATCCGGAAGTGCGACTAAACATGCCACAGATGCCAGATGCGCGTATCGAGGCAACCCTGCACCTGAAGCGGTCTGCCACCCGATCTTCTATTTTTGGGGTGGGCCCCGAGGGCGGTGGCGTTGATTCAGCATATGTTCTTAATTCGGTTACCTCTTGCCTGCCAAGTGTTAACTTCACGCCACAGCATTGTAAGGTCATTGTAATAAGGTCTGCTTCAAATTTCAACTCCATTTTGAGATATCAGGTAGTCCCACCAAAAGGACGATTCTGTCGAGCATAGCAATGCTCGGGTGGTAACCGTGGCTTGGATTGGGACGTTCTGTGACGGGTCTTCCACATCCTATGCAGCTACGACTTTTATAAGGCTGGAGCATGACGGCGGAAAGTGCTACACCTCGCTATTGCGTTGGGACACAGTCCCAATGCCATCGCCTTTGGAGCGATTTTCTAGTTTCAGCAGGTGGTGGTGCACCGGTCCTCTAAGTATTCAGGAGATGGACTATGCTCTAGTAGTCTTTCGCGTCCGAATTGACCTTGAGCTTATCACCGATCTTAATAAAAGGCATGTTGCGAGTAAGAAGTCGGTTACGAGCAGTCACTCGAGCGTCGTCCTCCAAAATTCCTTCCAAGTTCTCATCACTTTACACAGATAGTAATAGGTTCCTGCACGTACCTGCAAGGAGGTGCGGGGCTGACTTTGGCGCACTCTTACCATATTTCTGGATAGTGATAGGAACAGTTGTTCGGCACAGCTCATGCGACATTTGTCGCATCATCGAGTGAACACCCCTAGCAGACTGGCGACTGTTTTCATTTGTCTTGCAAAAAAGGCAGTGGTTCAGCATCTCTACATTGAAAACGGAACCAACTTTGTGGGCGCTGACAATTTTATAAAGGCGTTCAGCAAGGTTTGCAGCGGACCACATGGCACTCCTCCTCAGTCATCCAATTTTGGCGGGCAGAGGGAGGCTAATGTGAAGTCGGTGAAACATAGCTCACCGGCTCACTTACGTAACATAAGTGGAACCCTTCATATATTCAATTAAAACAAATAATTGAATGCCGCACAAAATACTATAGTCTTTAAATAATAACATTAAATACATTTATATTCACTGTTATAAGCATACTACATAATCATTACTGGAATATATAATAAACTTTTTTGGTGATAGATTTAATGATTTTTTAATGAAAAAAAAATATATTTTCCTTTTTATCTTTATCTTTATTTGAATAAGTTTTACCAGAGGTCAGTTAAGAACTAATTTACAACTGTATTCTTTCGGCCCAGCAAACCTTTTACAGAGGATTAACATAAGCCTTTTAAGTTCTACTTAGCTTTATATGTCAAGCTTAACAGATCATTAAGCTCGTTACCGTTAAGCGGTTCGTATCTTGGGGGAATGTTATTTATGAGGCTTTTGGAGAGTGAAGCTTTCCAAAAGACCGGCTTTAGCTTTTTTATATGAAGAGTGAATATGTCGTATGAAGAAATGAATATGTCACTCCCCCACCTTTTAGATATTAGCTTGTCCTCAAGCGATTATTTCTGGATATAAGTGTGGTACTGGATTTGCAATTTCAGCTATTTATTTTTTTTTCTGTTTCTGTTTTTTTTTTTTTTTTGTTTCTGTTTCTTTTTTGATATTTTTGTTAGTGGTTTTACTTGGTTTTAGGTAAGAGATTATAATTTTGTGTGGCGCTGTTTTACATTTCATATAAAAGTAAAATATGTAAATTAAAACTAAAACAGATATGAAGATTATTAGTATGTTTCTGTAAATTGTGTTACTCTTATTGTTTAACAAAATCATTTCTTTAATTTCTATGTGTGACATTGGTTCGATTTTTGTTACATTGTGTTCAGTAAATATTACATTTGTGTATTGTTGAATACTATTAGATATTGTAATTTGTTTTAATTCTGCTGTGCAGTTGGATATTTTTACAATTTTATTATTTTAAATATAAATCTCTTGACCGTTACAATTGTGATAAAGTTTTTCTCTGGTCATATTCCAGGTTATAAGTATATTTGGTTTAATGTATTGAATATAGGATTGTTTACGATATTTTTGAAAAGTACAAGTTGGTGTTTTGTGTTTTATTATGTTAGTTATGCAATGGTCTTTGACAATATTCTTTGTTAGTGTATTTAGAACATAGTTGTTATGTGAGTAGAATTTGCCTTCAATATTTTCCTTAATAATTTGGCCATTATTGTCGGGGTAAGGTGCAATTATGAAAGTTGGACGTTCAATTGAATTCATAGGAATGGGGGACATTAGGAATATTTCATTAGTAGGTACGTTAGACAAAGTTTTTATGTTTATCAGATTTTTGTAATTAATGTTGCAAATATTAGGTTATTGGACGACTGAGGAGGAGTGAAGTGCCATGTGATCCTCTGCGAAGAAAGCGTTTACTTTATGATGCGTAAATCTCCCATGAGCTCTGCCGAACAACTGTTCCTGTTAGTATCCAGAACTATGGTGAGAGTACGCCAAAAACAGCCGCGCACCACAGTGCACCGCATTACGTGTAAAGTGATGAGAACTTAGAAGGTTTATTGGATGACGACGCTCGTGTGACAGCCTAGAATGGCGTAATCGACACCTTACTCGAAAATACCTTTTACTAAGATCGGTGATCAGCTCAAGAGTTTGCTTCTGGAAGGCAACCGCTTAGCATTCCTTAACGCGGTCAATTCGAAAAAATATCAAATGTTCAAAAGTGACAGTTTTGGGCGGTAAAGTGTGCGTGGCAAAAACTCTTTCGGCAAATCGATAGAAATTTAAAAGACTAATAAAAAAAAGTTAAGAATTGTGGTCGTGGCAATTTTGGATGGTTTGTCGGCGTGAGAGTGGGCGTGGCAAAATATATAAAAAAATAAAAAAATATCATAATATTTTTTTAATATGACAGTTGTTCACTCTATAAACAGATGCGTACACTTAATGAGTTTAATTCGGGTGTTTGAATCTAACTAACTCGCTACTGCGAGGGCATCGCCTTTTATTCATTCTTACATAGGTTCTTATCATCTAATTATATAATGCAGCGCTTGTAAGACGCTGCAGTCTGCGTTGGTCAATGCAGCTGAGGTTTATCTTAAATCTATGTGATCATATCTCTTGACACTTCGGCAATAGACCACTGCAATCGTACTTATCTGTAGTTGCCACTTATGCTGTCCCGTGACATGTTTATTGCAGCCCTTAAATAGAACATATTTATAGATTGTCTACTTATCATGTCTAAACACATGTTTAGACACAGTTTTGTTTGGTTTGTTGCGTTAGAGTGGGCATGGCATAATTTGGAACAAACTTGCGCTGCATGCTTAGTCTCAACGTTCTAGCTTTTGCACTTTCTGAGATAAAGGCGACCAGTAACCTGTTACTGTTACCTGTTACCTTCTACCTGTAACATACTTTTCAACGAATCTAGTATACCCTTTAGCACTCTTACTCGTAGAGTAAAAGGGTATAGGGAAAGGGAAAAGGGAAAGCAGCTCATAAAAGGTCAAAAACGAGTTATGATCGTAAAAGAAGTTGAAATAAGAAGTTGAGTTCAGTTTGAGGATTAAAATTAAGCAGATTGGTGTTCTTTATTTAAAATTATAAAACCAGTTTATTAAATAAAATTCGTTTTTTTTTAATAAACATATGGTGAAACACAAATTGCGTGAGGAACTCGATTATAGCGTTAAATCTATAACAATGTCTTAGGTTCTATCTTGTTTAACGATACAATGATACACGCTTATAAAATATCTTTTTTAGTGTTACTTGGCTTTGGCTTCTCAACGCTTGTTCCCTTCTATTCGAGGTGGAAATTATCGAAACGTATTTCGCGGCAAGAGTATATCTATAAGTGCTGGTCCCAGTAGGGATTTGTCTTTGTATCGAACGAGGTCACAACACTTAGGATATAAATGGTCTTGTACATCAAATAAAAAACAAATTACAGAAGTGTGTCAACAGAACATGGGCACATGTAAGTTTCGAATACATTTTCTATGTATAAGTATTAATAATGTTTACTACACAGGTAATAGGGTAATTATACCTGCATATAGCCAACCCAATAATCAGACATTCCACGTCGTTCTGTTAATAAGATCTACCTTCGATCCTCTTCGTACAGCTACTACAAAACAAACTATAGTGTTTTCTTCATCTCGGCACTTAATAAATATAAATATTGCATGCGTCAGCAATTGCAATGGCAAAAAATACACTATACAAATGCCAATTCATCTAAAGGGACAATGCTTGCGTTGTCGAAATAAAAAAATTATTAAATGGATCTGGCGAGTGGAGTCTTTACCAGTGGAAGGAGCATCAAAAAGGCTTATTTTTGATGTTAAGGAAACTAAAAAGCGCTTACTTTCAATAAACCTTAATGTAGAGGCTGTGAATCGATATAACCCAAAAATTACTTATTACGGAAAATCCTGGATTTTTTTGGAAAAGAACATGGGCCCTGCAGGTACTACGTGCTCGATAAGCCCCAAGGTCGGAAAGGCGCATGAGACACAATTTTTATTACATTGCAATCAAAGCCAAGCTAGATTTAAGCCCCTAATGTATTGTATTGGAGTTGACAATTTTTTAATCGATGAATGCAAAACCGAAGAAGATATACAAGTCCATCTTCCCCCCACAGAACACATTATTGTTATGGTAAGTAATAATATACTGCTTTTGTTCTCTTTCTTTATATTTATATAAATATGGAATTTTGCTGACCATTATGAGACGCAGCTTTATTAGTTTTGTATCTAGAATATGCCGCTCTTCTTACAGGCACTCCAAATCTTTCGATATTGTATACAACCAATACCCCAAGCGGGATAGCTCGGTCCCAAAATTAATGAAAACAAAGGCAGCACAAGAAATATTTTTGTCGCAAGAGTTAGTCTTAAGCTATAAAGCAATAAAGATGTGAACGTATGATATTGATCTTTTTATTATTTTATTTCTTAGTGTTGTGTTAGTCCACGGGACGGGACATTTGTTCGACTCGGTTTGACTATAAACATTTCACTGGCGCAGTCTGTGGGATACAAAAAGTATCCGAAAAAAGAACATCGAGTGGAAAATAAATTAAATTTTATAATCCAGTTCTCATACAAATTTTCCAACGAAAAGACGCGAACACCCTTCATCTTTTGGTTATAATTCCAATTCGGTTATTCAACACAAAAAGTGGAAGTGGTATAAACAACCAGATTTCGAAAAAAATGTACTTTAACCACAGATGAAAGTAATTTAGCCCTTGGGGCAGTACTTTCTCAAAATGGTCTCCTATATCCTTTATTAGCAGAACACTTAATGAACAAGAATTAAATTACAGCGCTATCGAAAAAGAATTACTCGCCATAGTTTGGGCAACAAAAACCTTTCGACATTATTTACTAGAACGACAGTTTATCATTGCTAGTGACCATCAACCCCTTAGATGGTCCAAAATCAATACCTTGGGTTCACTAATTCACAACAACAAGTACCACCCATCCAAATTGACGACGAGGAAAATCAAAATAATTTCCAAACGAAAATTTTCAGTTAACAGCCCCAGACATACATAGAAATATCATATAAAGATTACACATACAAATGCCTAATAGACACAGGATCCACGATCAATATAAATATATTTTGACTTCCTATTCAAAATTCAACATCAAATGGCCCTTTTACTTTGAAGAGCTTGATTATCTTACCCAGCGATCAACCATTTTATGTTCACAGATTTTCTAATAATTACGATATGCTAATTTGCAGAATTAATTAATTGCAGATTATTAATTTGCAGATTAATTAGGGAAAGTAATTTACCATTCAATAGTCCTACCTGGGTAGTACCAAAAAAAAACTGATGCTTGTGGAAAAATTAAGTATTAGAGTAGTAATTGATTATAGGAAACTTAAACAAATAACTATCCCTTACAGATATCCAATACCAAACATGGACGAAATCCTTGAAATGTCAATATTCACAACTATTGATCTGGTAAGGGATATTCACCAAATAGAAATGAAACTAGAATCAATATTTAAAATCGCATTCTTTACCAAAAGCGGGCATTATGAATACATTAAAATGCCAACATAGAGCATAAGAAGACAATAGCAACATTATTCATTTATCCGAAAAACCAATAACCTATTTAAAAAAACAAACAATTTTCGTTAAGTCCGATAAAAATAAAGTATTCAACAATATTTAGTAAACAAAATTAGTGACAAAATTATTTAAAGAAAATCACTTCTTTCCCGATAGCAGACTAATAATTCAGAATATAATCTTCGAAAGCACCATATGTAATTTGGCTAACACAGAAAATAGAAACACCAAAATGTCTTTTAAAATCACACAATCCTGAACATTGTCGTCACAAATTTGTCGGAAAACATAACATCAGTGTTGCATTGACATTTATTCTAAGTTCGCTACACTTGAGCAAATTAAAACAAAGGACTGGATAGAATGCAGGAACTCATTAATGCGCATTAGCTCTCTCCAGTTTGAGTTTAAGGCGATTGCTTGAAGCAGAAGGAATCGAATTGCAACTCAACACGACAAAAAACGGTGTAGCAGACGTCGAAAGACTACATAAAACAATAAATGAAAAAATCCGCATAACATACAACCATAAAATTAAACATGACACGACTGGACACATACCTGCTCAAATTTTCTTATACGCTGGGCATCCAATATTAGATACTCAAAAAATTAAAGAAAATAAAATAGATAAAATAAATGAAGATCGACAGGAATTTAATTTAGTCACTAAATACAGAAAAGGTCCATTTCAAAGATAAATATTAGAAAATCCATTTAAACCAAATAAAAATGTAGAAAAAATAGATGAAGACCATTACAAAATCACTAATCGAAATAGGGAAATCAAATACTACAAAACACAATTTAAGTAACAAAAAATAACTAATACCGTTATACTTCCACACGAACCTTGTGTATAATGATGTTGTTTCTATTATTCACCACAAGCCCCAGTCAAGAAAACCCAGATTCCGACCCTGGCTACTTACTCTTTTCAAGCAATTCAATTTAAATACCAGTGGTATATGAACATCACTGTCTAAGAATTAATCTAACGGAAATCAATGTCACACTAATTCTTTTGGTAACAAAATGAAACCCTTATATAATAAACTACTGAAATTGTATAATTGTATAATTGTATAATTGTATAATTGTATAATTGTATAATGTATAATTGTATAATTGTATAATTGTATAATTGTATAATTGTATAATTGTATAATTGTTATATGGTCTAATTGTATAATTGTATAATTGTATAATTGTATAATTGTATAATTGTATAATTGTATAATTGTATAATTGTATAATTGTATAATTGTATAATTGTATAATTGTATAATTGTATAATTGTATAATTGTATAATTGTATAATTGTATAATTGTATAATTGTATAATTGTATAATTGTATAATTGTATAATTGTATATAATTGTATAATTGTATAATTGTATAATTGTATAATTGTATAATTGTATAATTGTATAATTGTATAATTGTATAATTGTATAATTGTATAATTGTATAATTGTATAATTGTATAATTGTATAATTGTATAATTGTATAATTGTATAATTGTATAATTGTATAATTGTATAATTGTATAATTGTATAATTGTATAATTGTATAATTGTATAATTGTATAATTGTATAATTGTATAATTGTATAATTGTATAATTGTATAATTGTATAATTGTATAATTGTATAATTGTATAATTGTATAATTGTATAATTGTATAATTGTATAATTGTATAATTGTATAATTGTATAATTGTATAATTGTATAATTGTATAATTGTATAATTGTATAATTGTATAATTGTATAATTGTATAATTGTATAATTGTATAATTGTATAATTGTATAATTGTATAATTGTATAATTGTATAATTGTATAATTGTATAATTGTATAATTGTATAATTGTATAATTGTATAATTGTATAATTGTATAATTGTATAATTGTATAATTGTATAATTGTATAATTGTATAATTGTATAATTGTATAATTGTATAATTGTATAATTGTATAATTGTATAATTGTATAATTGTATAATTGTATAATTGTATAATTGTATAATTGTATAATTGTATAATTGTATAATTGTATAATTGTATAATTGTATAATTGTATAATTGTATAATTGTATAATTGTATAATTGTATAATTGTATAATTGTATAATTGTATAATTGTATAATTGTATAATTGTATAATTGTATAATTGTATAATTGTATAATTGTATAATTGTATAATTGTATAATTGTATAATTGTATAATTGTATAATTGTATAATTGTATAATTGTATAATTGTATAATTGTATAATTGTATAATTGTATAATTGTATAATTGTATAATTGTATAATTGTATAATTGTATAATTGTATAATTGTATAATTGTATAATTGTATAATTGTATAATTGTATAATTGTATAATTGTATAATTGTATAATTGTATAATTGTATAATTGTATAATTGTATAATTGTATAATTGTATAATTGTATAATTGTATAATTGTATAATTGTATAATTGTATAATTGTATAATTGTATAATTGTATAATTGTATAATTGTATAATTGTATAATTGTATAATTGTATAATTGTATAATTGTATAATTGTATAATTGTATAATTGTATAATTGTATAATTGTATAATTGTATAATTGTATAATGTATAATTGTATAATTGTATAATTGTATAATTGTATAATTGTATAATTGTATAATTGTATAATTGTATAATTGTATAATTGTATAATTGTATAATTGTATAATTGTATAATTGTATAATTGTATAATTGTATAATTGTATAATTGTATAATTGTATAATTGTATAATTGTATAATTGTATAATTGTATAATTGTATAATTGTATAATTGTATAATTGTATAATTGTATAATTGTATAATTGTATAATTGTATAATTGTATAATTGTATAATTGTATAATTGTATAATTGTATAATTGTATAATTGTATAATTGTATAATTGTATAATTGTATAATTGTATAATTGTATAATTGTATAATTGTATAATTGTATAATTGTATAATTGTATAATTGTATAATTGTATAATTGTATAATTGTATAATTGTATAATTGTATAATTGTATAATTGTATAATTGTATAATTGTATAATTGTATAATTGTATAATTGTATAATTGTATAATTGTATAATTGTATAATTGTATAATTGTATAATTGTATAATTGTATAATTGTAATTGTATAATTGTATAATTGTATTAATTGTATAATTGTATAATTGTATAATTGTATAATTGTATAATTGTAAATTGTATAATTGTATAATTGTATAATTGTATAATTGATAATTGTATAATGTATAATTGTATAATTGTATAATGTATAATTGTATAATGTATAATTGTATAATTGTATAATTGTATAATTGTATAATGTATAATTGTATAATTGTTATAATGTATAATTGTATAATTGTATAATTGTATAATTGTATTAATGTATAATTGTATAATTGTATAATTGTATAATTGTATAATTGTATAATTGTATAATTGTATAATTGTATAATGTATAATTGTATAATTTGTATAATTGTATAATTGTATAATTGTATAAATGTATAATTGTATAATTGTATAATTGTATAATTGTATAATTGTATAATTGTATAATTGTATAAATGTATAATTTTATAATTTAAAATTGTATATATATATGATACCCATTATAGTCAGGATTGGGAATTATTTTAATGGTGTTAATGGTTTTTTTGTTAATAGGTTAATATTGAAATAAGTAATAATTCGTTATTTGTGGTCAATCCAAGTTGATGTTTTGATGAAACATTTATTCTGGTTTTTAATTCTTTCTAACGTGTCGTAATTAAGTAATTTTGGATTAAAAAGTCCTAGACATGCATGCCTATTTCTATGTCTTCTATTTATTCAATAAATTGGTTAAGTTCATAAACTAGTGTGTCAATACTATTGTGGTTATTTTCATAGTTAATAAGCTTCTGCAGTCCTTCATTCGTAAAATTTATAACATCATATAGTTTATGAAGTTGAATTGAATTTTCTGAAATTGGATCTATTTTTTTTGTTAATTTGTACCCTATCATTTTCATCAAGTGTGTTAAAAAGAAATTTAAAAGATGAACCTATTATGTTAAATAGTCCACGTGTCTGCCTGTTTTGCTGATGAATAGTTAAACAATTTATTTCTTTCAGTAGTTTATTATATAAGGATTTCATTTTGTTACCAAAAGAATTAGTGATGACATTGATTTCCGTTAGATTAATTCTTAGACAGTTATGTTCATATACTACTGGTATTTGAATTGGATTGCTTGAAAAGAGTAAGTAGCCTAGGTCGGAATCTGGGTTTGTTATTTGAATTACTTTACTGGGGCCCGTGGTGAATAATAGAAACAACATCATTATACACAAGGTTCGTGTGGAAGTTTAACGGTATTAGTTATTTATTGTTTCTTAAATTGTGTTTTGTAGTATTTGCTTTCAGTATTTCGATTAGTGATTTTGGTCTTCATAATGGTCTTTGATAATGGTCTTCATCTATTTTTTCTACATTTTTATTTGGTTTAAATGGGTTTTATAATTTTTCTCTTTGAAATGAACTTTTTCTGTATTTAGTGTCTATATTAAATTCCTGTCGATCCTCATTTATTTTATCTATTTTCTTTAATTTA